GGATACTGGACATCATAGGCTGGTTGTACGGGTGGTTGTGGCGGGCTGGTGGGTGACGCTCCGCTTTGTCCTTGAACTGACGAGTCAGCAGCATGGGTCCCCGCGTGGCACAGTGAGTCACGCATGGCGGTGCCACTACCACCACCAGCCCCACTAACACCATCCACTGATGCTTGTGGCCCATCCATGCCAAGTGTAGCCACATCATCCTCACTATCACTACCTAAAACGGGTGTAGGGCCACGGGATGTACTCCGTCCCCTGGGCACAGCATAGGGTACACTACCCGAGCACATGCGGCGGCGAACATACCGACGCTTCACTGGTGAATATGTTTCCTCACTATCACTACTCGAATGATCGTCGAGCGCAATAAAATCACAATCCACGTCAGAATCATCGTCATTACTGAAGTCAGAGGCCAGGCCACGGGAAAATATTAGTTTTCTCTTACGTTTAGGAACACCCGACCGTGAGTCACGAGTGCCCACACCAGAGGTAGAAGGTCGAGGATCGTCGGGGTTTTCTGCACCATTATCGATATCCTGGTCATTATTTTCGGTCACTAACTTATCAAAGCCGTAGAATTCGTCTTCATTTCCACTTCCATCAGTGTCAGAACTATCAGACAGGAAGAGGAGAGTCCCAATTTTCCGGGGAGTGAGAGCTGACTTGCGACGAGGCATGGTGAACAAGGGTGACTGAGCCGGCGTTCCCACAATGCTATGCAGGCGCCTAGATTTTTTGTTTATGGCGCACACCCATGGCGCAGACCCATTCTCTCACATGTAGGCCTATGAGCGCTTTCGCGCTAAATTTGACGGCGCTAGAATTTTGGCGTAGATCTATGGTTTGGACACTCACCGACCAGCCGTAGATCTATGGGACGGACCCTGAAAGGGTTAAGAATCGTAGTGGCATACACAGTGTGATAAGGCTTGTTCTGGAAGAAAATGCCAAACAGGACCTACAGTACTCAGGAGGAAAAGGCACTCCCAGGACACAGTGTCTCATCAGTCATTGCTACATCTTCAATAAAGGTAAGTGTCATTTATTCTTCATTTAGTAGAGTAGTACATGCACAATATATATTGTGCATGTACTACTCTACTGTTGTGCATGTATCCTTCTCTTTGTGTGTAGGAAAATGTATATTTCATGTGGTAAAATTTTTTTTTCATACTTTTGGGTGTCTTGCACGGATTAATTTGATTTCCATTATTTCTTATGGGGAAAATTCATTCGCATAACGATAATTTCGCATAACAATGAGCTCTCTTGCACGGATTAATATCGCTTGCGGGGGTCCACTGTATAAAGTTCAGGAAAACTGGATAGCCAGACTTGTCCTGGAGATTAGAAGTACAGTGTCTACACTCTGAAGGAGAGGTGAGGATGTGCAGTTTAAAGGGTCATATGAGCTGTAACATCAGCATACTACTGGCATGACAGCAATTGAGTGAACAGCAGTGAATCTATTTCCTCTTGGGAGAGGGGGTCATCTTGCCTTGGTGGAAGGTATTCAGACTCAATTCAAGGAACGAGCACAGATCCAATTCCCTAGATCACCCTTGAGGGTGTGGGAGATGGCACCTGTTAAAAAAATATAACGTGTGTCTTACTCATCCACTTGTCTGTATTTATACCTTTTATTTTATGGCAATAGAAATGTATTGTGCAAAAAGTACTGGATACATTTATTCAACTAGTACTCTTATTTTCCAATCACATCAATTCAGGTACTGTATTAGCATTAATAAAACAAGGGGGAGGTAGATGTAAAAAATAATTTATTGAAGTGTTGTTTACTTGATAAAAAAATTTATAGGTCTACAATAAATAAAATAATGAAGTAGATTATATATATATAAAATGTTTGCTAATATCATTTTACCCTTCTTAACATAGTACACTTGAGATTATTGTCTGAAGCCAATTTTAAACAAAATTGTGCAACATGAGAAGATAATTTAAATACCTCTCTACCACCTCACAGCAAACACAAACTGAAGTATCTCTTTTTACATCATTCAAGACTTTTGATTCCTGGAATTAAACCCACTCCAGCACTTTCTTGTATGAAATATGATTGTTCCAATTCTCCAAACACTGAATGACTCCTGTCTGTTTAATGCTTCCTCATGAAAATCTCTGAGGCCTAGATGCATGTAATAAAACTTTCAGGAAACTATTGCCATTAAACTTTACTGTTACTGTCTAGGAATTTTAAAGTATTCATACATCTATATATGCACCTATTAATAAACAACTTGCTAAATTTAGTGCATAACTACAGTACTTCCATTAAGAAATAAAACAGATATTACATTGAGAAATCATAGTTTATTCAGAGGAGCCTAACTTATGAACATCAGTTACCAATATCTACCTTACAAAAAATTGCTTTGTGAATGCTAATTTACAATTATGAGTACATGTAAAATTATTATTATAATCAAAAAGAAGCGCTAAACCACAAGGGCTATACAGCGCAGTACAGTGGACCCCCGCATAGCGAACTTAATCCGTGCAAGAGGGCTGGTCGTTATGCGAAATGTTCGCTATGCGAATTAATTTTCCCCATAAGAAATAATGGAAATAAAATTAATCCGTGCAAGACACCCAAAAGTATGAAAAAAAAAATTTTTTACCACAAAAAAATGTTAATTTTAGTACACACAAACTGAAAAAGGCATGCACAATTACATGACACTTACGTTTATTGAAGATCTGGTGATGATTGATGGGATGGGAGGAGGGGAGAGAGAGTGTTAGTGTTTAGAAGGGGAATCCCCTTCCATTAACACTTGAGGAGGCAAGTCCTTTTCCGGGGTTACTTCCCTTCTTCTTTTAATGCCACTAGGACCAGCTTCAGAGTCACTGGACTTCTTTCTGTCCATAGAGCTCTGTACCTCCCGTTCCTTTACGATTTGTCTAAAATGGGCCATAACATTGTCATTGAAATAGTCACCAGCACGCCTTGCAACAGCTGTGTCAGGGTGATTTTCATCCATAAAGGTTTGCAGTTCAACCCACTGTGCACACATTTCCTTAATTTTTGAAGTAGGCACAATGGATTCCACAACTGGCATAGGCTTCTCAGGGTTAGCCCCAAACCCTTCAAAATCTTTCTTAATTTCCATACTAATTCTCACCCTTTTTACCACAGGGTTGGCACTAGAAGCTTTCTTGGGGCCCATGGTCACTTATTTTCAACAAACAGAACCGAAAACACTGTAATAATACGAAATATTCCGAGTGTATGCTTGAATGTTACCGCGGAGGCTAGCTGGTAAACAATGGGACAGGCGGCACATGTGAGGCTGGCTGAGGCCGCACATTGGACGCGTCTCGGACGAAGTTCGCTGAGCGGGTTTTTGTCTACTATGCGGGGCAAAATTTTAGCGATCAAAGCGTTCGCTATGCGGAATGTTCGCTATGCAAGGCGTTCGCTATGCGGGGGTCCACTGTACGTGTAAAAGAACCATCCAGTACTGCCATTTTCTACAGAAAAATTCATTTCATTTTGAAAACTTAAAAGTAGGAACACCTGCAATGCAATCCGTTTAAAGGCTGAGGATTCTTTGCATAGTGTACAGTACAGTGGAACCTCGGTTTTCAACGACTTTTTTCGTCAAAATTTTGTCCCAGTTTTTGTTCATCACCTCGGTTTTCATTGAGTTGACAATGGTCCGCCATACCAAATGTGGCATCCCACGCATTCTGAGTCAGTCTGGCTTTGTTTCAGGGTGGTAGAGATAACTTCTACCCTCCTTGCCATCTTCCATACACCAACAAGAGTCTTCAATAAAGGTAAAAGTGATGTTAAATGTTCATTAGTCCTTTATATTTATTTCTCATTGTTTTCTGTATGTAAAACTATATTCTCTATAAAATGTATCTTTTTGTTAATACTTTTGGGTGTCTGGAACAGATTAATTGGATTTTCATTATTTATGGGAAATATTGCTTCAGACTTTCTGGAACAAATTAATGACAAAAACCAAGGTTCCACTGTATATACTTTGCAGCTGCTTCATAAATGAAATAATAAAAAAATAGCAGCCTGTTAAAGTTGTGAGTGCAAGGATAAATAACCAATAAGTTGCATTGCCTGTGCTTCAACCTGCAAACAAGTTATTTATAACATGGAACAAAAAATGGCAGGCCTGTCCCTACAACTTATTGTTTCAATCATGGTATTGTGCCTTTTTACTCTTCATTACACAATTTGGTGAGTTTCATGGAACTTATTTGTTCAAAGAAAACACTACAAAAGGATGGTCGTGTATACAGATTAAGGATCAGCATTTGCAAAACAATCAGTTACTAATGGACTTTTTTGTAAGTAGAGGTTAGTAGCTCAGCAGTTCTTAAGTTGGGAATCATCTGTGTTACTAAAGCAAGATGCTATACATTTATTTGTATTTAAGAAATTTTTCTGTCACAAATCTTCACTTTAAATATAAACATCAATAATGTTCATACCACCACATGTTCAATGGTTTAAAAAACAAAGACTTCTGCAACACATTTTTGAAAATCTAATTAATAACCACTATGGGAAGTGTTAATAGATGAACAATGGCAATGATTAATAGTACACCAATGGAGGAAGAAGTAACAGAGATGCAATAATGGTAAACACATGGAACTGCTATAATTTAGACAAATGAGACAACTGTACAAAAAGAAAATGACAGCTAACTTTTGTAAAGATACAATAGCATAAGTGTCTCCTCATATGTTCATTTTCCACATTTACATAAAATTTTGTGTTCACATTATCTTGGCCACCTAGGTATGTCAAATTGTAGTCCCCACTTTTCCTTGCTTTGAAAAAGTAAATTCAAAATTATTTTGATTGCAATCCAAACAAAAGCTACCTTATCAGGAAGCAGCCAACCCAAAAACTTCAGTTTCCAACTTATGAATGACTTGCATTTCTGGCATTATAACTTAGGTACTAACAAGTCATTTAAAATCACAAACCTAGTGTACTAGAGAAAATTTTAGTACAGTACCAAAGATAATAGTGTTCAAAATAACTGCAAACTGGCATTCACGCAGACTTTTTCTTAGTGTTACTGTATGTCCTTAAGACCTTGTTTGTAACCTGTGTCCTCATAAACCACAAACACCCTGTATTATATGTGAGTTACGATGACTTTCTGGCAAGAGAAATTCAATGACTATCCTGTATTCACATGCTGACATATTGATGCACAAAAGTGTAAACAAGCTGGTCAATGGCACAATGAGCTCACTCATCTGGAGAAAATAGAACAGATATTGAAATATACAGTAGTCATTTAAATTTCTCTTACTCAATGTGAGCTCATTTATGCTATTTTCATGCATCTTCTTTATCTTTACTGACCTATCTCTATTGGCAACTTTCTTCTCTTAGGAAGATGGTTGTACGTAGTCTGTTCTCCATACATACACAGTATGCAAAACAACCACAGGGGGAGTTGAATGATAGCTCAACACATCTTCAGGAGCTTACAATGTTGCAAAAATGAGTAGGAAGTCCAGGTTCATTTATTCAGGGGAAAGGCTCTAGCCAGAGCCCTTTTCCTAAACAAATATACCTGGACTTCCTACTCATTTCTGCAACACTGAATACTCTTAAAGATGTCAATTGCAACATGAAAGGCCTAGAGCTATAATTCAACTCTCCCTATGGCTGTTTTGCATCTTGCAGTGCTTGTTTGTGATTAATGCCCCTCATGGAAGGTTCCTTGATGTTGGTGAGGGGCTCTTGATTTAGGGAATTGGATCTGTGCTCCAGTTCCCCGAATTAAGCCTGAATGCCTTCCACATCCCCCCCTCCCCTGGGCGCTGTATAATCCTATGGGTTTAGCGCTTCCCCCTTGATTATAATAATAATAATGTGATTAATGCACATATACAGTATGTTGACCAAGCCACAATGCCTTGGTTGGAGCCATTCACAACTACTGTAACCCTCTTGACTTGATAACTGTCAAAGACAAGCTAAAATGTCATCTAGTTTCATCTCAGATTTGTTTAATGTATGCTATTGATTGCTGTAATGCTGTTGCTAATATATTTTTTATAAATATTTACTCAGGTTTGGCATATATTTTTCTGCCCAGTACTTTAGAGTAATTCCGAGAAGTACTAATTTGTGCATTATGAAATGCCTAAATGAATAACTAAACATCTTTGTATGTTAAAATAAAGATACATCCTCATCTATAATGTAGGACGACTCCTCATTGACTTTTGAAACGACTGACTTACTCCAAAATTTTTAAATACTTTAGCCTTCTACTTGTTCTTGCTACCTATACCCCCGTACTATCCCTGCCCGCTGTTTCTGTAACCTCTGATCACCCTCCTTCTGCACCAAATCCTGCTTCTTCCTACCCTGCAGCGCTGTAAATAGCCTTGTGGCTTAGCGCTTCTTTTTGATTATAATAATAATAATAATATAATGTAGGATCAGATGAATATTTAATCCTTAACAATGTGAAAAATATATTTGCCAAATTGAAAATAATAGGGAATTTGAAAAAAAGAAAAACAAATTTTTGCTATTATCACAAAATTACATAATCATAAAAACACCCAACTGCAGAGCTTTAGAATTTATTGACCTACAAACATTATGAGATTGAGCCGAGTTCTGAAGTGACTAGTTATATATCTTTCTGGCTTGGAACCACACACCAGAGAATTAACATGAGCACTGAGAGTTCACATCTTCAGCCTCATCATCCTCGTTCATTAGGAGCCTCTTTGAACGTCCCCGCCTACCTGGCAAGCGACTGGAATCAACAGCCACTTCCATGCGTTTCATAACAGCATCAAGCAGTTGGTTGACAGCAGTTTCAACATTTTGCCCCGTTGCAGCAGAAGTCTCTATGTAGGCAAATCTGTGTGATGGCAAAGACTTTCTCTAAATGTAAAGTCCATACATTCTGGAAAGACAGCTTAACAATGAATGATGGTGAATGTTTGGGTCACATTTTTCTGTGAAATGGATGATGTTAAAATAATAATAAACAGATATTAAGGATAAGATGTCTAGAGTCAATAAAGCTTTGTAAGGAAAACTTGTGATATGATCATAAAGTCTAATAATCACTTTACTTTTATTAAAGATTTTCTTACTACGAACCTGTATAATTCTCTTCTACCCTGCAGCTAAAGTAACAATGATTCAAAACTGCTAATAATATCTGAGGAAACAAGAAATGTTAGATAACAGCTTAGCTCTAAATGATCTCGAGTTGTGTGTTTTCAGATGAACTCTATGCTCACGACTATTAACCCGTCAACTGTCCAAATGTAGAGGTCAATTTTCTGTGTGTAATAAGATAAAAAAAAAAAGTTAGGGTCAGTGTTCACCGAGATACAAGACCGTGAAGTTGGTGCTGGATGCTCACCTGAACGCAACATGGAGTACTGCTGTTTGCAGAAATGTTGTCAATATACCTTTTTTCTTGTTTTTTTTTTTAATTTAGTATATAATTTTTATGTTCTCATAATTAAGAATTGTAGTAGTTCTTGTGATTTCATCGCCAATGTTTATTTCAACACTAATATTAGGCTCTGAAACTGTACTCAGTCACAAACACACTGACATGTGAACATTTTCACCTGCCCTGGTCACATACTATTGTCTAGAAATATATACAAAGTATTTATAGGTCCAAGCAATGTTTTACACATGCTGAACTATATATGAAACTCCTTGAGGCATGATGCAAGACAAGTGTCACTCCACTGCTGACAGTGCAGCAGTGGGGTGACATTTGATGATCGTGCACTGCCTTGGCTTTATTTGCTTTCACTGTTACACATAATCATGATGCAGAGTCATCCCATCCGATTCTTGAACAAGTGAAAATGCGTATTACTTGTCAGTCATGCTTATTATGCCTTAGATCTACAAACACAGTACACCACTTTGTCTGAATATTTTTTGGTTATCCTAGGTAATTTACACTATGTATTTATGTGTACCTGTGAGACAGAGAGACAGCCAATGTCAATCAGCCAGCTGGCTTGCCTGATGAACACATATTACACATGTTCCAAAATTTCTCTCTCTACTTAGGGCCTAGGTTATAGGATATTCTGGGAGGATGACACTACCAGTGGTATCAGAATTGAGAAGATGTTGCACATGGGTTATTATCAATTTTTTTATATATATCCTCAACCACTTGTGGTCATATCCATCTCAAAGTCACTAAACTCAGGGTTAACATCACTTTCCTCTTAAAAGGGAAGTGTTAATATGACATAACATCAATGAATCCCTAGTTTTTGCCACGCTGTTTGCTCTAGCTGGCGGTCAATTGAACTGGTGGTCCCAGATTTTTTTAATACAGCCTCTCCTCACTTAACGATGGAGTTTCGTTCCTAAGACCACATCGGTAAACTAATTCATCGCATACTATAATTCAATTCAAATATTTATTTCCCTGTAAAGCTTACAATGTGTGTGGTTTACATGTTATAAGATTTTAAATACAAAGATGGCCACTCATGCCTAGGCACTTAAGGCAGACTAACACTAATTTTTACGCTATATTGATATAAGTTATATTTGAGCAGTACATTTGAACATATCAGATACATTCCCAGTTAGGTACAGTAGACCGTTATTTAGCATGGTAGTTATGTTCCTGAAAATGCCATGTTAGGTAAAATCGTGTTAGATGAACAGAAGAACTTATGGGAAAAATAGGGTTACATTCCTGGGAGCCCCCAAAAACCCAAACAACTTTTTTTAGGCCTCTACATCTTACAAAAATAAAAGTGAATATGTAATTGTTGTGATGTATTATGTTGTTTTTACTGCTTAAGACTACAAATGTAACAGAAATAATAGTATTTCTTACCATAAATTGTGGGTGGCGGTGTTTGTGGATGATTGTGAAGAGAGTGGAGAGTTATGCTGTGGTCCTACTGGGCTGAGGTGGATGGTAGAGGTTCTGGTACTCAAGTCGATGGTTGTACTGGAGTGTCTAAGTCAGTCGAGTCAAATCACTGAGTAAGTCAGCAAAGTCATTCAGTAAGTCAATCAAGTCAGTCAGCCACACAGACTCATCTTTACCTCTTTTCCTGTGTACAAAGTAACACTTCATTATGGCTACAGGTCATCTCTTGTCTAATATCTTTGTTTCTTTGTTAATTCTAAGACTTAAATGCTTATACTTTTTCTTGTCACTTTCAGCAACACTGGTATGGCTACTGGGTGTCATGATTCCCTGGCAGATACAAGATATAGTAATTAAAATATAACACAATTCACAAACACAACTAGCTTGTAACAGAGACAGACTGAACACACATGAAATACGAATGCTGGGATGGTGGGGTGGTGTAGGGGATGGTGGGAGGGCTCCCCCGCTGCTCCACAACAAGGCAGCCACTTGAGCAAAAGAGAATTTTTTTTTTCTTTCCCACAAACTGAACAGTGTTAAATTAATTTTACGATGTGTTACATAAAATTGTGCCGCAATTCTTCAATCATGCAATACCTGAATCGTGCTAAATGAATGTCTACTGTACATACATAATTAGGTTTAAAGTAGGTAGTACAATTTATTTATTATTAATTTGAACATGATACAGAAAAGTACAAAGGAATACAGTTATTAAAGTGCAACATGCCAAAGCCCCTTGTATGCAGAGCATTATGGGCAGGCTTAAAATTAACTTAAGATTAATTAAGCAATGATATATTCAGTGGTAAAAATATTATTGTAAACAGATAACAATTTAGCACAAATGAGTATTACAAAGACAGGTCATATGGTCATTTACTGTGTTGCTGAGCATTCAGTAGAATGGAGTAATCTGTTAGGTAATGTAATTAAAAAATAACAAAGTTTGATTGGGTCACAGGTTAGACATTTATGAGATACAATAATGAGAAATATTTATGAGATACAATTATTCAGTACTTATTTATTTAGTTGTGGGTGAGTAAGTGATTTTTGAGAAGAAACTTGAATTTATAAACAGTGTTTCTTTTATATTCACAGGTAATGAATTCCAGATTTTACGGCCTTTTATGTGCATTGAGTTTTTTGCATAGCGTGAGATGGACACAAGGAACATCAAAGAGTGATCTGTGCCTTGTGTTATGGTCATGTGTTCTGTTGAGGTTGGTAAGGAGACGTTTGAGGGGAGGGTTTATATCCGAGTTAAGTGTTCTATGTATGTAGTAGGTGCAGTAATAAGTATGGATGTTTTGTATGGTGAGTAGGTTTAGAGTTTTGAATATTGGTGGAGTGTGCTGCCTGCAGTAGGAATTTGTTATCATTCTGACTGCAGCCTTTTGTTGGGTAATTAGTGGTCTGAGATGGTTTATTGTTATTGAGCCCCATGCACAAATTCCATAGGTGAGATAGGGGTAAATAAGGGAGTGATATAGAGCCAGGAGGGCTGACTGTGGAACATAGTACCGTATCTTTGATAGTATGCCTACAGACTTGGAAATTTCTTTGGAAATTTGTTGTATGTGTGTTTGAAATTTGAGTCTATTATCAAGGTGGATTCCTAAGAATTTTCCCTCTGTGAGTTTTGTGATAGGTGATCCATTTATCATTATGTTAAGAGGGACATCTGTAGCTCTGTTACCAAACTGAATGAAGTAGGTTTTGTCAATGTTTAGAGTGAGTTTGTTAGTCCTCATCCAGGTAGATATTTTCTGCAATTCGGTATTTACAGTATTGGCTAGCGTGACTGGGCTCGGGTGAGAAAAGACGTATGTAGTGTCATCTGCAAATAGTGTGGGTTTGAGTAGTTGCGATGCATTTGGTAGGTCATTTATGTATATGAGAAAGAGAAGAGGGCCTAAGACACTTCCCTGTGGGACACCAACTGTACTTGGCTGTGCAGAAGAGTTTGCCCCATTTGTGTACACATATTGGCTTCTGTTGCTGAGGTATGACTTGAGGTAGTTGAGGGAGTGCCCTCTTATACCATAGTGCGACAATTTTATGTGGAGCAAGTCATGGTCAACTGTATCAAAACCTTTACGTAAGTCAATGAAGATCCCCAGTGGGACTTCTTTTTTCTCTATTGCAGTGTATATATGTTCTAGCATGTGTATAATAGCATCATTAGTATTTTTATTAGGCCTGAACCCAAACTGATAGGGGTTGAGTATGTTGTGGGAGATGAGGTAGGAATAGATTCGCTTATGAATTAATTTTTCGAAGATTTTAGAGAGAGGGT